AAACCTTGATTTTCATGTCTATACTTGCAGATTCCCAAATTTAAGATCCAGGATTATTTACTGCAGGTCCAGAAATCAGAGCTACCTCATAACATCCAAGTGTGACATCAGCTGCACTCTTTACAGGAGACTCTAGATGAACTCTGTGGAGCCTGATCTCAAGGTTTTTAAGTCTGACCCTGAAACCAGAAGAGGATCTTTCTGTCTCTTCAGAATCATTGTGATCCAGTGATTTCAGTCCTGCATGATCACGCTGATGCCATTGGTCACAGCTGAAGTTCTCTTCCATGTGTGTACGTTCATGAAGGTTATGACTGCTCGATCGTGAGAAGCTTCTGTCACAGTGTCTGCACTTGTATGGTTTCTCTCCTGTGTGGACTCGTTTATGCACTTTAAGCTCACCTGCAGTGGTGAAGGATGACCCACACTGGTCACACACGTGGTTTTTGACTCCACTGTGAATGAGTACATGCTTTTTTAATGCACTTGATGTGGGGAAACCTCTCCCACATTCTTTGCAGTAGTTCATTTTGTCTCCAGTGTGTCTACGCTGATGTATTTTTAGGCTTTGTTGCCGACTGAAAGTTTTTCCACAAAGGTCACAACGAAAGTCTTTCCCACCACCACAGTGACGACAGGGTTGACTACTGGATCCATCTGTGTCGCTCTGCTTCTAAACAAAGACACAAAGACAGTGTAAGTCAGGGAATTCCTTCAACATTTTTAGAACTTTTATTGTCATTGTGCAGTTTCTTGCACAGCGAAATTGGGTAGCATGTGGAAGGGATTAAGCACCATCACAGATTACAAAGCCAGAGACACTGCGCCGATCAACGCAGACTATGCATTTACCAATGAGCTGAACACGTTCTACACCAGTTTTGAGGTTAGCCAGGTGGCTAATGCTAACTACTGCCTTACAACAGAGGACGGTGACGTCAACGGCAAGGGACCGGTGATCCGTATCGTAAAGTACGCCGTCCATGCGTCGCTGAGAGTGAACACAAGGAAAGCGGCTAAGACAGACAGTATCACTGGCCATCTGCTGCGTCTGCTCTGTGGACCAGCTAGCAAGTAAGCTCACTTCCATTTTCAGTGAGTCCCTGGCAAAGTCTGTGGCCTCCACAATCATCCCTGCACCCAAGAACAACAAGCCCTCATGCCTGAATGACTACCGGCCAGTTGCACCGACTTTGGTGGTAATGAAGGTGTTCAGACGCTGCGGAAAAACATCATCTCCTTCTCCACCACAGATCCACTCCACTTTGCTTACCAACCCAACAGATCCACAGAGGACGTCATCGCCCATATCCTGCACACCACTCTCAGCCATGTGGACAGGAAACAGGGTAACTATGTGTCTATACTTTAGACTGCGTGGCCACTCATAGCTCCAATACCATTGTGATCTACTGACGACACAGTGGTGTTGGGTGCCATCTCCAACAACGATGAGGCGGCCTACGTGGAGGAAATGAAGAATCTGTCATTGTGGTGCCAGGATAACCACCTCCAGCTGAACGTCTGCAACACCAAGGAGGTTGGTGTAAGTATCCCAGTGTCCACATCTCCTCAGATATGACATGGTCGGCCCACAAAAAAAAAGGCTAGCCAGCACCTGTACAACTTCTGACAACTGACGAAGTTCGGTGTCTGTCCAGGGATCCTCAGAACTTTCGATTCAGCCCCTGTGGAGAGCATCCTCACACAGAACATCTCATCCTGGTATGGGAACGGCTGTACTAAGGATGGCAGATTTATACATTAGATCGCTGCTGATGGACTGCTCTCCTCTCCATACAGGACATTTACAGCAGGAGATGCTGGTCCAGAGCAGCTCAGACACTGAAGGACCCATTCCATCCCAGCAACAAACCGTTGCTCCACGCCATCCAGTCAAGAACAGAGAGACTCAACACCAGCTTCTGGTTCAGGACATGCAGGCTAAAATAATTCTTCATTTTTGCATCCAGTTTATTTAAAACAAAAACAACTGTATCTAAGCAAAAAGTTATATCATGTTCTTCATAAATACACATGAAAAGTTGCAAACAAATCGGTCTCACTCCCAATTTAAAGCAACAATAATTGTTTTAAGTTAGTAAAGAACATAATAAGTCATCTAACACTGGCCAAATTGTAGCAGTCTTAACTATGGAAGAATGGGGAGATTGTGACTAGAGAAAAGTTATTACTTACTGGTTTTATGATTATGGAAGAAATAAATAATAGCTGAGACTAAAACCCAATAAGCACTGCTTTTATATGCAGTAGAATTACTAAGGAGTTATTACAGAAAGTTAACAAATTGAATGAGCAGAGTAATTCCAAACAGTCAGGCTAAAATTAAAAGATAAATACATACCTCACAGTAACTGCACTTGTAGAGTTTCTTTCTGGTGTGGATCTCTTGGTGGAGTTTCAGGTGACGTGGAGCTTTAAAAGCCTTATTGCACAGGTCACATTTATAAGGTCTCTCCTCAGTGTGGGTAAACATGTGGCTTTGTAAGTGTGTGGCTGTTGTAAACAGTTTCCCACACTGATCACAGCAGAAAACATCCTGTCCGGTATGAATCCGTACGTGAATATTGCGGTACCCTGGCGTGCTGAAAGTTTTCCCACAAATGCCACAGCTGTACGCCTTAATTCCAGAGTGGGTAACTAGATGACATTGTAAGTTGCTACTTTGAGCAAAAGTTTTACCACACTGAT